AGAGTAAGCCTTTGTTGTTCATGCCATTTGAATGAATGGTACAGACTTTGTTTTCTACCTGAAACAACAAATCAAACTAACCAGCCGGGAGAGTGAATGTGAAAGGGGCAGTGGGAAGGCCCCAGAGGAAAAGGATTGGAATGAGACATTTTATAATTTATCAAGGTAAGTTATGGGAAAAAAAATAAAGTCATACTGAGCAGAGAGGATAGTGCACATGAACTATCTTGATTATGAATGTAAGGGAACTTAACAAATTTTTCTCTTGGACAAATGTCTTTTGGTTTTATTTTTTTTCTTGGGATAATACTGATTTTCTCAAAAATGCTGATCAAGTTATTTTTCATTAAGGATAGAACACTCATTCTGCAAAATGTTCTCATCTCTTATTTTATAGTGAGCAGGAGCAGTTCAGCACAGCTAAGTAAAGAATCTTTCTAAATGGGACAGAGTCTACTTACAGAGAAACGTTTCTGGATTTGAATTGTTTAATCTTTATCCTAGGATGAGAAATCAGAACGTGTATCTCAGAACAAATCTTGTGTGTTCATGATTATTTCATTGTTTGTGCTTCCAGTAGCAGCCTTAAGAACAGAACAAGTTTGTCCTTCGGAAGCCTTTTTTGACCTTTCATTTGGGGATTCTTAAATATCATTCAGAAAATCAGTCTTATCCTAAGGGGAAAAAATTAAGATAGTTAACGATTACACAAACAGTAGTATTCCTATCAATACCATAATGCAGAATCATCGAAAGATAAAAAATTTTTAAAATGGTATGCTTTTCAGGAATTTAGAATCTGTGATCTAGATGTAGTCCAGTCTTTGATCTGGATCACTTATATTAATGTTAAAATAAATAGGATGGGCGCTGTAATAGACCCAGAGTTTAGCAGGTCTAGCCGGCCAACTGAATGACCAAAGGCCATCCTGGCCTACTGTCATAATTCATATAACCAGGCCACCTACTTCATTTGCCATCCAACCTCTGCAACCCAGTTTGTGCGACACAGACATGTTCTCTCGGATAAAAGAACTACATTTGTCACTGTCACCATCTGGATTAATTCTAGAATCACCTAAGAAATGTGCTCAAAAGGCAAAAGCCTGAGTCTGAGACGTTTTCCAATTCCTCCATTCCTATAATCTAGAATTTTGGAAATTGGATTGTAAAATTTTGCTTATATCTATTAATATTTAGGTGAAAAAGATTGTGTATATGTGAATGAGAGTCGAGGGATTATCAATTATACCTAAGTTTCCAAACAAGTGCACTAGTGTACAAGTGTACTAAATGATTAGTGCTTTTCACTGGGAGACAACAGGCCTGAAATGAAACTGACAAAATGTATCAGATATATATTACAAAAATTATGATATTGCTCTTATTTAATGCTCTTGTGGAGCAGCCATGTCATTTTGCAAGTATCATATTAGATGTCTTGATTTCTTAATAACTTTGAAAAGTACAAATGCATTCAATATGTGATTCATCTTCAAAAAGTTCACGGAACATTGGGATTAAAGGATAATGAGTTTCCCCATAATCTTTTTAAAGTCCCCTGCGATAAGTGAGGTTTTGTGGTCACATGGCTGTACCAAGATTCTCAGTAGTTTGGCAGTGATGTCCCATGATAACATAGTATAATCAACTCTCTGATGGGATCTGCTCTGAATAACCAAGCAGTTGTGGGAAGATTGGGGTGGAGTGCAACCCCCCTTCATTAAGTCACATCCCTGATGCAATTGGGGCAAGTTTCCTTGGGAGTATAGGCTGCTTCTTATGGAAGGTAATGCTGTAGGGCACGAACCCACCCAAGGGGAGGG